TATGCAGAATTGTTAAGCATTTTCTTCCACTTAAGCTTACTGTGTCATTTCTCTATTTTTTTTTGCCTTATGTCCTTGAGTAAGTTCCCTGAGATCATGTCCCAGTCACTTTTGAATCTTCACTTAGTGTATCATGCCAAAGTCAATATGAATCAGTCCACAGTACCAACATTCCCTTACTGACTGAAAGACAATACCTAGCCCTTGAGCAATGTGTTTGTTCTCACAGCTTGTATCTGAGATTTGTTAAAGTGCTGCGAAATGTGAAGTTCAGATTAAGTTCCTATAGATCCGTGAATTACTTATTAACGTAGCCGAGCGGTCAGGCACTAGTAATACTGTCACTCCTGTCCGGACTCCAGCCACAATATCATGCACGCAGGATAGTGCGACTACTATCCTTGCGATGGCGACTTGTTCAAGTATTCGTTCCTTCCCAGGGGACGCTTTGAGAAGAACTTTACTTGCAACGAGTTATGCCATCTCTTGCTGATACCACAAGCCGTTGCAGAAAGACGTTTCTGTGGCTAGTGTGCTCACTTGAGTGTTGTTGTTGTCCCTTGTGTTTCAGATTGTGATCCCATCCTAGTTGACAGTAATCAGTGCATTGTAAGAAGTTATTTCTCGAGTAACTTCCACGTTGTTAACGTTTGTAAGTGAAGTTTATAGCTGATACCTCGTGTCACTGTGTGCGACTCAGATTGAATATCAGCATTGTTCACCGTGTTCATTTCTTTTCTCCTGTGCTTGCAGTTTGAGATAGTAGATTCGTTCTCCTTGCTCATATTGCGTGTTATAGCGTTAATTTTTTTCAACCGGGGGGAGTCATCCACTCCACCGAGTTTGTTCATTCCTCCAGTAAGAAAGAACCGACCCCTTGTGTTCTGGTGATTCGATTCCTGCTCCAGGAAGATCTTATTCTGACTGTGAAGCCACCAGCACCCATTAGTGACTTTGTCATGAACCAAGAATTACTGTATCGAACAGCCGAGTTGGGTACTCCTAGCAGAAGAGTATACAGTTTTGTAATTCCACAGTCACTAGTGAATGTAGCCTTACAGCTAGTTCACGATGTACCAGGTGTTGCACACCCTGGTATGGATCGTTCAGTAAAACAAGCCAGATTGAAATACTTTTGGCCTCGTATGGCAACTGATATATCTGAGTATGTTAAGAAATGTAGTGTCTGCATGCAACATAAAGGTAATGCTAATGGCCCTAATCCAATCCAAGTGTATCCAACTACTAGCGAACCATGGGAAAGAGTTGCGCTAGATTTGTTAACTAATTTCCAATGTTCCCTCCAAGGCAACAAACATCTGTGTGTTATGGTAGACCATTTCACCAGATATTGTGAGTTAGTTCCTATTGCAGATAAGACTGCCGAGACAGTAGCTAAAGCGTTTAAAGAACGCATTATCTGCAGGCATACCACCCCTAAGTCCCTAGTAACAGATAATGGAGGTGAATTCTGTAATGAGATTCTTGAAAATTTGTGTACCTTGTACAAGATCTCTAAATCCACCATTGTTCCTCATCATCCTGCCAGCAATGGGTTAGCGGAACGAACCAATAAGAAAGTACTTGATGTCTTGAGAGCCACTATCAATCCCAACAGTGAAACTTGGGATGAAGTTATACCTGATGTGCAGTGTGCTATAAATTCTGCTTACAATGTTTCTATAGGTGACACTCCACATTATGCATTGTACGGTGTACATAAACGTTTGCCTTATGAGTTGTTATATTCTAATCCGAAACCAAATTACAACCCTGATGATTTCATAGCAACTCGTACCAGCTTAGCTCAAAGTGTTTTAGAAGAAAACCGTGAAACACTTCATAAATCAACAGCAGAATTTACAAGAGTCGCAAACACTCGAGCAAAGCCACCCAAAATCAAAGTAGGTTCGAGAGTTATGCTGACTAACTTTAACAAAATGTCTGCAATGCCAAAGCTTGATCAAAAGTTTGTTGGTCCTTATCGAGTAGTTGAAAATATCACTGGTAATAAGTATAAGGTTAGAGAAATTAGTACTGGTCAGTATAAAGAATCGCATTTAGATCATATGAAGTTAGTATGTGATGATAATGATGTTCCAACCCAGACTAATGTGACAGACTCTGACAATCCTCCTGATCCTGTATTCTCTTCCTCTGATACTCAGTCAGACGATCAACCTGAATGTCGTTATTCCCTACGTACACGACAGGTATTGAGAAATCCTCAAGTATCATTTGTAACTTCCAATTCAGATTTGCCTCAAATACAGCATGAGTTAGCCAATGCAAGAGAGTTTGATCCTCCAAGAGATGACACCCATTCTGCATATGTCAATCTTACCCTAGCAGAGTTGGGGTTAAATGTAAATAACCTGTATAGATGAATAATTACAGTATCAACTTATCAGTATTCAAGAATTTTTTTTTTGTGTTCACGTTCTCTCCGAATTCTGAGAGTTAACAGTCTAGATTTGAGTGCACCGAATCTGCCTTTCTGTTAAACACTTCTTTCTTTGTATATATTCCTTCCTCAGAATCCGTAGATCACATGAATACAGATCGATCGATCAAAATTTTCTTTTTATCACTTCTGTGATGAATGGTTTGAAAAACCGACAAGTTGAAGATTGAGACACTTATGCAGCATATGGGAATCTTTATTCAGGAAACGTTTCGCCACACAGTGGCTTCATCAGTCCAATACATTCTACAAGATTGATGGACTGAACACATCGACTCCAGGTTGAGGGACTGATTACCTCATTCTCCTCCTCTCCTTACGCCTTCCTCTTTGTATTGGACTGATGAAGCCACTGTGTGGCGAAACGTTTCCTGAATAAAGATTCCCATATGCTGCATAAGTGTCATTTATCACTTCTATTGTGTAATCTCAACGTTGAGTTTCATTCGATGAATTTTCGTTGAGTTTCATTCGATGAGTTTCATTCGTTGAGTTTCTTCGATGAGTTGTGCTATATTATACCTTGTATTGCATTACAGTTTCAGTTACGTAAGCTTCCATTCCAATGTTCTACTTATGTATGTTGTAATGTTCAATTGTTGTGTACTTTGACATTGTATAGAATCAGCCCAAGCCGTATACCTGCCATCTCTAGTTTGTATTAGTTGAATGTTGGGACGACATACGTTAGCGTCGCCGAGCTCTCAGTAGTAGTACCAGTTCCTAGTAACCAGTTACCAGTAACCAGTGTACCAGTAGATGACTCACTACCAACCGTCTCTGCGTGAATCACTGTCTGTATTCATATTGCTGCTGACCACAGCAGTATTTCAAACACCCCCTCACATATGGGTACTGGAGTTAGTCAGTCTTATGAGTGAGAGCAAGGAGGCAGGTCACGGCTGTTTGGCGCTTCCCACACTATCCGTAATATACGTACTACCAGCCTACATGAGTATTTCTTTACCCTATCCACGTGTTCGAACCCCACATGATAACACTGCCTCCGGAGCACCTGCTGATACTCCCTCCAGAGCACCTGCTGACACTCCCTTCGGAGCACCTGCTGACACACCCTCCAGACCACCTGCTGACACGCCCTCCGGAGCACCTGCTGACACACCCTCCAGAGCACCTGCTGACACACCCTCCGGAGTGCCTACTGACACTGCCTCCGGAGCGCCTACTGACACTGCCTCCAGAGCACCTACTGACACTGCCTCCGGAGCGCCTGCTGATACTCCCTCCGGAGCACCTGCTGACACCCTCCGGAGCGCCTACTGACACTCCCTCTGGAGCGCCTACTGACACTGCCTCCGGAGCACCTGCTGATACTCCCTCCGGAGCACCTGCTGACACACCCTCCGGAGCGCCTACTGACACTCCCTCCGGAGCATCTACTGACACTGCCTCCAGAGCACCTGCTGATACTCCCTCCGGAGCACATGCTGACACACCCTCTGGAGCACCTGCTGACACTCCCTCTGGGGCGCTTGCTGACACACCCTCCAGAGCGCCTGCTGACACTCCCTCCGGGGCGCCTGCTGACACTCCCTCCAGGGCGCCTGCTGACACACTCTCCAGAGCGCCTGCTGATACTCCCTCCGGGGTGCCTGCTGACACACCCTCTGGAGCACCTGCTGACACACCCTCCAGAGCGCCTGCTGACACTGCCTCCGGAGCACTTGCTGATACTCCCTCCGGAGCACCTGCTGACACTCCCTCCAGGGCGCCTGCTGATACTCCCTCCGGAGCACCTGCTGACACTCCCTCCGGGGCACCTGCTGACACACCCTCCGGAGCACCTGCTGATACACCCTCCAGAGCGCCTGCTGACACTGCCTCCAGAGCACCTGCTGATACTCCCTCCGGAGCACCTGCTGACACTCCCTTCGGAGCGCCTGCTGACACACCCTCCGGACCACCTGCTGACACACCCTCCGGAGCTCCAGCTTCTGCCTGTCATCCCCTCCACCGACCACTTGGCGCCGGGTCACCATCTGGACAAGATCCGAGCCGGGGAGTTCCGGTGAACCAGCTGCTGCACTGCCCTCCTCTGCTGCCATCTACGCTCCGTGGCTTAAACCCTGATTCTTTCTACTCTTCAAGATGCTTCACTTTAGTTCTAGTCTTCTTCTGTTCCCACTTCACCGCTCACCTGAAAGTCTCTCTATAATGAAGGGCAGAAAGTGTCCTCTCTGCCCTTCATTATAGAGAGCTTCTCTCTGCCAGTCAGTAAATAATGCTCTATATTACTCAATGTAATTAGTGTTGTCACCAATAGAAGTTGCTCCAGTGAATTTTAAGTGTGTTAGTTTGAGCCTACCTGGCCTAGCAGGCAGGCTCAAACGCACCCCAGTTCCTGGGTGTCTCACAGCCATAATATTTCTCCATGTTAGTTTAACATCTCTCAGTGTTCCTTCTGATTTTTGGGGGGTTATCCCAGGTTCTCTTCACATAAGCTGTTATGTATGATAATCTTTGTAACTGTATTTGTGCATACCTGAATAAACTTACTTTCTTACCCTTGCCTCAGGAGGAGACGAGGGACGTGGGGTGGGAGTTGTATCGACGGTGGGAAGCTTAGACCGTGAAGAACATCGCTTGTTACTGGTGCCTCTGGTGGTGGCTGATGCTGGTTCACTCTCTGCTACCCTCACACTCACTGTCCACGTCGTCGACCTTAATGACAACCCCATGACACCGGCCTCCAAGACTGTCACTGTCCATACCGTCCAGGTCAGTTAATGTTGCAGTCAACATTATCACTGTCCACAATCTCCAGGTCAGTTAATGTCGCCTTTAAGACTGCCACTGTCCACATCCTCCAAGTACATCATTTTTACATTGTTGGTTCCGCTCATACAGAGCTCACTAGCAGGTCCTCATGACATGTATCATGTCAGGTCAACACTGACACGACACATTTAAGCTCACCACTGGCATGACATATGTCAGCTCACCACTGACGTGATACAAGTCAGCTCACCACTGGCATGATCCATGTAAACTCACCACATGACACAGGTATGATGCATGTCAACTCTCTACTGACGTGATACAAGTCAGCTCACCACTGACACAATACAGGTCATCTCACTACTGACATGATACAGGTCATCTCACCACTGGCATGATACAGGTCATCTCACCACTTGTTACAAAAAACGCGATTTCTAATAAACATAGAGATCTCCAGTGAATACTAGAAAGGACTGCCCTTCTAGCATCCAGCCTGTTACTGGGTTATTGTAACAAGTAGTCAGTATCCTGGTCCAAATATCCATTAGAATTCAATAAGATTCAGTAGTGCTTCAGGATTACAACTGGTAGGCTACTAACTAAAGAAATTAAAATTTAATAAGTTTATTAATAACAAAGTTGTCTAGGCGTATATTATCAAATTTAAATATAAACAAAATAATAATAATAATCACTTCTCTGGTGTACAGTAGTATTGTGCTGAAGGTACATATCACATCTTTATGACTTGTAAGTACCGTCTGGTACATTGTTAGAATTTAATAACATAGTACAAATATATACAAGTAAGTTTGTGTGTATGTGTGTAAGTGCTCTAAGTAGTTCGCTATGTCTCAAGACTCTACTAGACTTAACCAGTGACTGGCTAAAAGTCCTCACATAAACTAACTTCTTGACCAACCTGGCAATCAGAACAGCTTGCTTGAACAATAAAACGACTGTTAAGCCGAACAGCAATATAACAAGGAACTGCGACACAGAATCAGGAATAAGGAGATAATATAACGACACTAAGTAGGGACCATCTGCAGATCCTCCACAAAAGTCACCAAACTCCCATACTACTGAATCTAAGTTCAGCATTAGAAAATCCCCGACTGTGACAATACACAGATACCAGTACAAGTTAGGTCAGAAGCTACAGAAAATGACCCTCTTGTGTCTCCTTTCTGCAGCACCAGAAGAGACACGTGCCTCTGGGAAGAGTATACGTGCAGGACCCTGACGACTGGGATGCAGCTGCCAAGACCTACGCCTGGAGACACTACCAGTCTGGCTTCTTTTTGAATACCTCCACTGGAGACCTGACTATGGCTCCCGACACACCCGATGGACGGTAAGTGAAGATGCCTTATGCTAGGAGAGGCCAGTCTGCTGATGAGACAGTTGAGATGCTTAGTAAATAGTAGATGAGGCTGGACGTTAAGTGAAGCGTAGGTTAGGAGAAGATAGTTTAAATATCTTTTCACTAGTATTAGAATCTAGCAGCTGACATACATGTAAGAGATCTACTACTGTGTTGTGTGGGTTTGGCAGGGTGATGATGGATGGGTCTATGCTCAGACCCATCCATCATCACCCTGCCATCCATCGCCACCCTGCCATCCACCACCACCCTGCCATCCACCACCACCCTGCCATCCACCACCACCCTGCCATCCACCACCACCCTGCCATCCACCACCACCCTGCCATCCACCACCACCCTACCATCCACCACTGCCCTGCCCTCCATCTCCACCTTGCCATCCACCACCATCCTGCCATCCATCACCACCCTGCCAACCACCACCATCCTGCCATCCTCCACCACCCTGCCATGCACCACCACCCAGCCATCCATCACCATCCTGCCATCCACCACCACCCTCCCATCCACCACCACCCTGCCATCCATCACCACCCTGACATTCACCCACCACCCTCCCATCCACCACCACCCTGCCATCCCACCACCACCCTGCCATCCACCACCGCCCTGCCCTCCACACACCACTCTGCCATCCATCACCACCCTACCATCCATCACCACCCTACCATCCATCACCACCTTGCCATCCACCACCACCCTGCCATCCATCACCACCCTGCCAATCACACCATCCTGCCATCCTCCCCACCCTGCCATGCACCACCACCCAGCCATCCATCACCATCCTGCCATCCACCACCACCCTCCCATCCATACACCCACCACCACCACCCTCTCATCCATACACCCACCACCACCACCCTCCCGTCCATACACTCATCTCCCAGACATTACACTTCTCCCTCCCCTCTCCACTTCTTTCCCATCAAGCATGAGTCCTTCCCCCCCCCCTCTACCTTCCTCACATCTCTCTCTTCCTACATGTTCTTATCTGTTTCCTCAACACATCTCACCACTACCACATCTCTCTTTTCCGTTCCACCCCCTCTTTCCATCTCTCCCACATCTCCCATCCTTTATCCATCTCTCTTTCCATATTCTCCTCCCACCCTCTCCAGCATCTTCAGTCTTCCTCTCTCACTCCTTTCTTTTCCTTCATTTTTCGATCCTCTCCTCTCCTTCTCTCATCATTCTTCTCAGAACATCAAGGAACTTTAGTAAAACTGGTCCCAACATCACGTCACATCATCCTTCTCTTATCAGTCTCCTCAGAACATCGTCAAGAAGCTGGACCCAACATCAGGTCTCAGCATCACACAGGAATGGCGTAGCTGTACACGTTCATTGATGTGTTGTGGCCAAATGATGTCAGCAGCAGGAAAACATCCTAGAAACTGAGTGAAAGTTTTGGTCTGGCGAGAGGCAAGTGGATGTGTTTTTCGTCTTCTTGCCTCCTGGCTGCTGGTGAAAACTCTACCTCTGTTTCTTGGCTATTTTACTCCTGTTCACCTGATCCACCATGAGGCCTGGTCACAGACCGGGCAGCGGGGGCGTTGACCCCCTGATCCCTCTCCAGGTATACTCCAGGTATACCCTGTTTTTGCTAACGTTTATGGGGAATATTTTGAAATTCTTCACCTTAATGCTAATAAAGCTCAGTCTTCTCTCTGTGTTTATGTCGTCGCTCTCTTGCTATACGACTAATCTTTTCCAGGTCTCTCTTGATGCTCTCAACACTCTTGTCCCATCTGTCGTGTTCACTGCTGAATGGGAAGCTAACTCACTGCTCGTTTTCTTTGATCAGCGAGTTCTCAGCTCTGTAACTGGTTTGTCTTCAGTTGTTATCGTCTACCATAAAACTGCGCTCGTTGGTATGTTTATCCACCACTTTTATTACCATGTTCCTTCTACCATGAAAAAGTTTCTTGTTTTTCTCTTCCTCTGCGTCCACCTCATCTTTCATCTTCACTTTCTCGACTTTAAAATTTCCATTCTTTGCAACTTTTTCTCGTCTAAGAAATCTTCCCAATTTCTAAAACATTTTCCTTCAATGGTATTTTTTTCTTAGCTAACCCCAGTACCCTGGACAAGCTGCTGTACACTGTCTTGCCTGTAGCTTCAACCTGAATGAATTTTATTTAGTCCTTATCTTCTAAAAATTACACTTACATTTCGCCAAAATAATACACTTTGTAGTATTCTCCTTCACGCTTCTTCTCTTGTCTCTGGTTTCTGTTACTTCTTCCCTCTTCAGTACGTTGTGACGCTCACTGTTACTTCTTCCCTCTTCAGTACGTTGTGACGCTCACTGTTACTTCTTCCCTCTTCAGTACGTTGTGACGCTCACTGTTACTTCTTCCCTCTTCAGTACGTTGTGACGCTCACTGTTACTTCTTCCCTCTTCAGTACGTTGTGACGCTCACTGTTACTTCTTCCCTCTTCAGTACGTTGTGACGCTCACTGTTACTTCTTCCCTCTTCAGTACGTTGTGACGCTCACTGTTACTTCTTCCCTCTTCAGTACGTTGTGACGCTCACTGTTACTTCTTCCCTCTTCAGTACGTTGTGACGCTCACTGTTACTTCTTCCCTCTTCAGTACGTTGTGACGCTCACTGTTACTTCTTCCCTCTTCAGTACGTTGTGACGCTCACTGTTACTTCTTCCCTCTTCAGTACGTTGTGACGCTCACTGTTACTTCTTCCCTCTTCAGTACGTTGTGACGCTCACTGTTACTTCTTCCCTCTTCAGTACGTTGTGACGCTCACTGTTACTTCTTCCCTCTTCAGTACGTTGTGACGCTCACTGTTACTTCTTCCCTCTTCAGTACGTTGTGACGCTCACTGTTCTCTCTGATAAAGAATTCAAAATAAGTCCTCACCTTACCGACACAAATGATATTCTTTTCTGTCATGTTAGAGATGACAGCCATCATACAACTACTAAAACTCTCTGCACTTCTTATAGTCTTCACAGGCGCCATCTTTTCTAGTCATTCTTTAACATTCCTAACATAAATCTTGGTTATAATTTGACTTAATAAACTGTCAAATACTCTAATCTTCAAAACATTCTTCATATGATATTTACCTCCTCAACTTTTCTCTGGATCTGTTTATTGCATTTCCTTTCCATTCCTGTTTTCCTTTTTCTCTATTGTTTGCGCTTAGTCCAGCACTGCCCATCACCTCCAGCACTGCCCATCACCTCCAGCACTGCCCATCACCTCCAGCACTGCCCATCACCTCCAGCACTGCCCATCACCCCCACCTGGACGACACCTGCTACACTTGATTTCTACTGCTTGAGATGTAATTTTTCCTCATTACTCCACAACTACTGCCTAGTGTGAGCCAGTAGGCCTACTGTAGGTCTCCTCGGCTTATCTTCAATGTGTACAAATGTTACTAAATTAATTACTAATTATAATACTCTTGCTGCGTTCTCTAATAATATTATTTTTTGTTAAACTATTGTTTATGTTACTACTGTAAATACAGCACTTGTGACGTGGTTGTATCAGTGGCACTAGCACTTGTGACATGGTTGTATCAGTGGCACAACCACCTGTGACATGGTTGTATCAGTGGCACCAGCACTTGTGACATGGTTGTATCAGTGGCACAAGCACTTGTGACGTGGTTGTATCAGTGGCACTAGCACTTGTGACATGGTTGTATCAGTGGCACCAGCACTTGTGACGTGGTTGTATCAGTGGCACCAGCACTTGTGACATGGTTGTATCAGTGGCACCAGCACTTGTGACGTGGTTGTATCAGTGGCACCAGCACTTGTGACATGGTTGTATCAGTGGCACTAGCACTTGTGACATGGTTGTATCAGTGGCACCACCACCTGTGACATGGTTGTATCAGTGGCACCAGCACTTGTGACGTGGTTGTATCAGTGGCACCAGCACTTGTGACGTGGTTGTATCAGTGGCACCAGCACTTGTGACATGGTTGTATCAGTGGCACTAGCACTTGTGACATGGTTGTATCAGTGGCACCACCACCTGTGACATGGTTGTATCAGTGGCACCAGCACTTGTGACGTGGTTGTATCAGTGGCACCAGCACTTGTGACATGGTTGTATCAGTGGCACCAGCACTTGTGACGTGGTTGTATCAATGGCACCAGCACTTGTGACATGGTTGTATCAGTGGCACTAGCACTTGTGACATGGTTGTATCAGTGGCACCACCACCTGTGACATGGTTGTATCAGTGGCACCAGCACTTGTGACATGGTTGTATCAGTGGCACCAGCACTTGTGACATGGTTGTATCAGTGGCACCAGCACTTGTGACATAGTTGTATCAGTGGCACCAGCACTTGTGACATGGTTGTATCAGTGGCACCAGCACTTGTGACATGGTTGTATCAGTGGCACCAGCACTTGTGACATGGTTGTATCAGTGGCACCAGCACTTGTGACATGGTTGTATCAGTGGCACCAGCACTTGTGACATGGTTGTATCAGTGGCACCAGCACTTGTGACATGGTTGTATCAGTGGCACCAGCACTTGTGACATGGTTGTATCAGTGGCACCAGCACTTGTGACATGGTTGTATCAGTGGCACCAGCACTTGTGACATGGTTGTATCAGTGGCACCAGCACTTGTGACATGGTTGTATCAGTGGCACCAGCACTTGTGACATGGTTGTATCAGTGGCACCAGCACTTGTGACATGGTTGTATCAGTGGCACCAGCACTTGTGACATGGTTGTATCAGTGGCACCAGCACTTGTGACATGGTTGTATCAGTGGCACCAGCACTTGTGACATGGTTGTATCAGTGGCACCAGCACTTGTGACATGGTTGTATCAGTGGCACCAGCACTTGTGACATGCTTGTATCAGTGGCACCAGCACTTGTGACATGGTTGTATCAGTGGCACCAGCACTTGTGACATGGTTGTATCAGTGGCACCAGCACTTGTGACATGGTTGTATCAGTGGCACCAGCACTTGTGACATGGTTGTATCAGTGGCACCAGCACTTGTGACATGCTTGTATCAGTGGCACCAGCACTTGTGACATGGTTGTATCAGTGGCACCAGCACTTGTGACATGGTTGTATCAGTGGCACCAGCACTTGTGACATGGTTGTATCAGTGGCACCAGCACTTGTGACATGGTTGTATCAGTGGCACCAGCACTTGTGACATGCTTGTATCAGTGGCACCAGCACTTGTGACATGGTTGTATCAGTGGCACCAGCACTTGTGACATGGTTGTATCAGTGGCACCAGCACTTGTGACATGGTTGTATCAGTGGCACCAGCACTTGTGACGTGGTTGTATCAGTGGCACCAGCACTTGTGACATGGTTGTATCAGTGGCACCAGCACTTGTGACATGGTTGTATCAGTGGCACCAGCACTTGTGACGTGGTTGTATCAGTGGCACCAGCACTTGTGACATGGTTGTATCAGTGGCACCAGCACTTGTGACGTGGTTGTATCAGTGGCACCAATCGTGACCCCACTGTCTCATCCCACGACCCAGGAGCTTCATCTAACATCTCAAAGTGATTCGTAATGTACGACAATCACTGAATAAACAGAATAATCAACTGGGATTCATGCAGTGAGTGGCTGTGGCAGCACCACTCAGGTACTGCAGGTAGCAGGTTCAACGCAGCACCACTCAGGTACTGTAGGTAGCAGGTTCAACGCAGTACCACTCAGGTACTGCAGGTAGCAGGCTCAACGCAGCACCACTCAGGTACTGCAGGTAGCAGGCTCAACACATCACCACTCAGGTACTGCAGGTATCAGGCTCAACGCAGCACCACTCAGGTACTGCAGGTAGCAGGTTCAACGCAGCACCACTCAGGTACTGCAGGTAGCAGGCTCAACGCAGCACCACTCAGCCAATACGATACATCATTCAGCTGTATTCCTCATCTCAATAATATAACCTGAACTAGAGGAAGCAATGTTGTAGTTAATGTTTCTCGTCACACAACGTCAATAAGAAATATTATGTCATTTGTTGTCTACCTTTCTTTATCTCTCCATTCTACAATCTCTCCATATTTCTTCCCTTCCTCCTACTGCATTTTCTATCCAACTTCTCTTCCCCTCATTCGAACTTCTCATCCAGTCTTCCATCTTATCATACTTCACCCTCCCTCAACCATCCACATCAACTACCTTCCACCCCTCTCGCATCTAGCCCCATTTCTCCCTTTCTCTCATCCCCAGGTACGAGCTGGGGTTCTGGGTCAGCGATCCCAGCCAAGGTCAGTCGGGGGTCATCGCTAATGTCACAGTCAAGGTCAAGATGTTAACAGAACGTGAGGTGACACAGGGAACGTCTCTGACCCTTGTAGTTAACCCTTACTGGGCGGTCACAGAACAGGACGAGGCTGGACGGGTAAGTTGAAAGATTATCTTAGTGATTTATTCCCTGTTTGATGACCCATAACTGGTTGATTAAAAGACGATTTTATTTGCTATTGTAAAGCTTTTTTAATGAATTGATGACTTAGTGGACTGATAAAGTGGGTGACTTGGCAGTTGACAATGTTATCATAGAATTGATTGGTTGGTTGCGTGAGATTTAATTAACTGATTAATTAGACAATGAATTGAGGCATAATTAACTGTATGATTTATTAGTGGATTGCTCTATTTTATGTGTTGGTCGACTGACTGAAAAGAAGATGACAAGACTGGGTGGTCAGTCACTTAAAACTGGCTCAAGAATTAGTCACTTTGGTACATATTATATCCTGTAATTTATTACTCCAGAGATAACGTAAATCGTCAGTAAATGATGATGAGTTGGTTAATGTTTTGCATGTTGACTCTGCCATCATAATACATACACCAGGTGTCAGTGGTATCATTTTACTGGGATACTCACTTGAGAAGTGACCTCCAGACGCCTGTGACCACGAATATTATGTATTTGGGTCACATTATTCATTTCTTCAGTCTGGCGTGAAGTGACGCTTCCCCTCCTCCCCCCCCCCTACCCAAAACAACTAAAAAATTAATTCTTAGTCTTAATTCAAATTTTTTTCCCATTATATTTTTCAAACGTGATATTTTCTATAACATCTCTGATTTAAGTAATGATTATTTTGTAAACACTTTCTTATCTTAGATATTATTAAGTAATGTTTATTTTCTTGGTGAGGTAATGATTCACGAAATATTTGTGTTTAGTAACTGATGATATAAGGACGTCAGAGTCTCTGTCTGAGTCGCCAGGTATTTAAGCTGAGACAGTCAAGCTCTCTTATTATTTAAGCTGAGACAGTCAAGCTCTCTTATTATTTAAGCTGAGACAGTCAAGCTCTCTTATTATTTAAGCTGAGACAGTCAAGCTCTCTTATTATTTAAGCTGAGACAGTCAAGCTCTCTTATTATTTAAGGAACTACCTGACCAGCCGGGCTGTGGTTCGTATGTCAGTTTGCGTGCGGCTAGCAGTAACAGCTTGACTGACAAGACCCTGATCCACCACAAGGCCTGGTCTCAGACCGGGCCGCAGGGGCGTTGACCCCTGAAACCCTCTCCAGGTATACTCCAGGTATACCATATTTTAATTAAGATAAAAAGAGCTCCTGGTAGTTGTGTTACCAGTTTTCTCTTATGGTTACCAATGTTATCCCGGCTGGCAGGAAGGTTCCTCTCTCGTGCGCCGGCTGGCGGAGGCGTCTTGTTCATGGATTGAAGGAAGCAACACGGGCGTGTGGGCGTGGGTCAGCGATGAGATGACTGGTGTGCAGCAGGCTGACATGATGCAGCATCACCTGGAGAGTCAAGAAGAAGAGCAGCAGCCCACTGCCACAACAACCACAACCACAACCACAACAACCACTACTACCAGCAGCACAGCCAGCACTCAAGTGTGGCTAGTGGCTCCTGGAGTACATAACCTCAGTCACATCCTCTTGTACCGCAGGCAGCAGGTGGGTCCCTGGTACTGCAGGCAGCAGGTGGGCCCCTGGTACTGCAGGCAGCAGGTGGGTTCCTGGTACTGCAGGCAGCAGGTGGGTTCCTGGTACTGCAGGCAGCAGGTGGGTCCCTGGTACTGCAGGCAGCAGGTGGGTTCCTGGTACTGCAGGCAGCAGGTGGGTCCCTGGTACTGCAGGCAGCAGATGGGTCCCTGGTACTGCAGGCAGCAGGTGGGTCCCTGGTACTGCAGGCAGCAGGTGCGCCCCTTGTACCATAAGCAGCAGGTGGGTCCCTAGAATCGCAGACAGCAAGAAGGTCCCTGGTACTGCAAGCACCAGGTCGGTACTTTACACAGGTAACTTTACACGTATGCTGCTATGTATGATAATTCTATGTAACTCTATTTGTGTATTCCTGAATAAACTTATATACTTACTTAGTCCCTTGTACCGTTGGCAGCAGGTGCGTCCCTGTATCACAGCACCAGGTGACTCCCTTGTACCAGACGCAGCAGGTGGGTCCTTTGTACCGCAGGCAGCAGGTAGGTCCCTTATACGGCAGGCAACAGGTGGGTCCCTTGGACTGCAGGATGCAGGTGGGTTCCTTGCACCAGAAGCAGCAAGTGAGTACCTTCTACCGCAGGCAGCAGGTGGGTTCCTCGTACTGCAGGCAACAGGTGGGTTCCTTGTGCCGCAGGGAGCAGGTGGGTCCCTTGTACTACAGGCATCAGGTTGGTACCTTGTACTGCAGGCAACAAGTAAGTCCTTGGTACCGCAGGCAACAGGTGTGTTCCTTGCACCACAGGCAGCAACTGGGTCCTGTGTACTGCAGGCAGAAGGTGGGTCCTTTCTACAGCAGGAAGCTGGTGGGTCCCTTGTGCTGCAGGGAGCAGGTGCGTCCCTAGTACTGCAGGCAGTAGGTGAGTCCCTTGTGCCGCAGGCAACAGGTGTGTCCTAGTACTTCATGCAGGAGGCTGATTGCTTGAACAGCAGGTAGGTCCCTGGTACTGCAAACAGCAGGTGGGTTTCTTATACTGCAGGTGGGTTTCTTATACTGCAGGCAGCAGAAAGGTCCCTTGTAATGTAGGCAGCAGGAGGGTCCCTTGTAATGTAGGAAGCAGGAGGGTCCCTTGTAATGTAAGCAGCAGGAGGGTCCCTTGTAATGTAGGAAGCAGGAGGGTCCCTTGTATTATAGGCAGCAGAAGGGTCCCTTGTAATGTAGGAAGCAGGAGGGTCCCTTGTAATGTAGGCAGCAGGAGGGTCCCTTGTAATGTAGGAAGCAGGAGGGTCCCTTGTAATGTAGGAAGCAGGAGGGTCCCTTGTAATGTAGGCAGCAGGAAGGTCCCTTGTAATATAGGCAGCAGGAGGGTCCCTTGTAATGTAGGAAGCAGGAGGGTCCCTTGTATTGTACGCAGCAGGAGGGTTCCTTGAAATGTAGGAAGCAGGTGGGTCCTTTGTACCGCAGGCAGCAGGTAGGTCCCTTATACGGCAGGCAACAGGTGGGTCCCTTGGACTGCAGGATGCAGGTGGGTTCCTTGCACCAGAAGCAGCAAGTGAGTACCTTCTAACCAGTCAGGCAGCAGGTGGGTCCTGTAACTGCAGGAAGCAGGTGGGTCCTTGTGGCGCAGAGGAGCCTTGTACCATGTAGGAAGCATCAGTTGGTGTCACCTTGTACTGCTAGGAACAGTAGGTCCTTGGTACGCAGGCAACAGGGTGTCCTTGCACAGGAGCAGCAGGGTCCTTGTACATGGGCCAGAGTGGTCCTTTCATACAGCAGGAAGCTGGTGGAGTCCTGTGGCTGCTGAGTGAGCACTCCGACCCCAGTCAGAGCAGCTTGATCAGTGTGGCCCTAGTGAGCACTCTCGGCACAGTGGAACCAGTTGACTCATGTGGCGCTGAGTTGCACTCTCGACACAGTCAAGCAGCTGATCAGGTGCGCCTGAGTGACCCTCGACCACCCGTCAGGAAGCAGCTTACTCATGTGCCCTGAGTGGCACTCTCGACTACCAGTCAGGAGCAGACCAGTGTGGCCCTAGTGAGCACTTCGCACGTCAGGAGCAGCTTGCTCAGTGGGCGCCTGATGAGCACTCTCGACCAGCAGGAAGCAGCTTGACTCATGTGGCCTGAGTGAGCACTCTCGACCACGTCAGGAAAGCAGTCTTGATCAGTGGCGCTGAGTGGCACTCTTCGACACCGTCAGGAAGCAGCTCCTCATGTGTGGCGCGAGAGCATCTCACACATGTCAGGAAGCAGCTTGACTCAGTGGGTCCCTGAGTGAGCATCTCGGACACCAGTCAGGAAGCAGCTTGACTCATGTGGCAGCCTGAGTGAGGCACTCTCGACACATCAGGAAGCAGTGACCGTGTGGGCCTGATGAGCACTCGACACAGTCAGGAGGCACCTTGATCATTGTCAGCATGAGGAGTACCTTGTAATGTAGAACTGACTCAGTGTGGTCGCCTGTGTAATGCTAGCAGTCAGGAAGGTCCTTGTTGTAGGAAGCAGGAGTCCTCTTGTACATGTCAGGAAGCAGCTTGATCAGTGGTCCCTTGTAATCGTAAGCAGCAGGAAGGTCTTGATAATGATGGCAGCAGTAGGCACTCTGAATAGAACGCAGAGGGAACACCTTGATCAGTGTGCAGCGGAGTGGCCTTGTAATGTAGGAAGCAGTGAGGTGTGGCCCTTGGTACATGTGGACGCAGGAGGTCAGCCATTGTGTGGCCAGGAGTCCACTTGAATCGTAGGAGCAGGAGGTTCCCTATGTACATGACCCAGATGTCACGATAACACTTGATTCAGTGTGGTGCCTGAGTGAGCACTCTCGACCACCAGTCAGGAAGCAGCTTGACTCAGTGTGGCCTGAGTGGCACTTCGACACGTGAGGAAGCAGCTTGACTCAGTGTGGCGCCTGAGTGAGCACTCTCGACCACCAGTCAGGAAGCACTTGACTCAGTGTGGCGCCTGAGTGAACACTCTCGACCACCAGTCAGGAAGCAGCTTGACTCAGTGTGGCGCCTGAGTGAGCACTCTCGACCACCAGTCAGGAAGCAGCTTGACTCAGTGTGGCGCCTGAGTGAGCACTCTCGACCACCAGTCAGGAAGCAGCTTGACTCAGTGTGGCGCCTGAGTGAGCACTCTCGACCACCAGTCAGGAAGCAGCTTGACTCAGTGTGGCGCCTGAGTGAGCACTCTCGACCACCAGTCAGGAAGCAGCTTGACTCAGTGTGGCGCCTGAGTGAGCACTCTCGACCACCAGTCAGGAAGCAGCTTGACTCAGTGTGGCGCCTGAGTGAGCACTCTCGACCACCAGTCAGGAAGCAGCTTGACTCAGTGTGGCGCCTGAGTGAGCACTCTCGACCACCAGTCAGGAAGCAGCTTGACTCAGTGTGGCGCCTGAGTGAGCACTCTCGACCACCAGTCAGGAAGCAGCTTGACTCAGTGTGGCGCCTGAGTGAGCACTCTCGACCACCAGTCAGGAAGCAGCTTGACTCAGTGTGGCGCCTGAGTGAGCACTCTCGACCACCAGTCAGGAAGCAGCTTGACTCAGTGTGGCGCCTGAGTGAGCACTCTCGACCACCAGTCAGGAAGCAGCTTGACTCAGTGTGGCGCCTGAGTGAGCACTCTCGACCACCAGTCAGGAAGCAGCTTGACTCAGTGTGGCGCCTGAGTGAGCACTCTCGACCACCAGTCAGGAAGCAGCTTGACTCAGTGTGGCGCCTGAGTGAGCACTCTCGACCACCAGTCAGGAAGCAGCTTGACTCAGTGTGGGCCTGAGTGAGCACTCTACGACCACCAGTCAGGAAGCAGCTTGACTCAGTGTGGCGCCTGAGTGAGCACTCTCGACCACCAGTCAGGAAGCGCTTGACTCAGTGTGGCGCTGAGTGAGCACTCTCGACCACCAGTCAGGAAGCAGCTTGACTCAGTGTGGCGCCTGAGTGAGCACTCTCGACCACCAGTCAGGAAGCAGCTTGACTCAGTGTGGCCGCCTGAGTGAGCACTCTCGACCACCAGTCAGGAAGCAGCTTGACTCAGTGTGGCGCCTGAGTGAGCACTCTCGACCACCAGTCAGGAAGCAGCTTGACTCAGTGTGGCGCCTGAGTGAGCACTCTCGACCACCAGTCAGGAAGCAGCTTGACTCAGTGTGGCGCCTGAGTGAGCACTCTCGACCACCAGTCAGGAAGCAGCTTGACTCAGTGTGGCGCCTGAGTGAGCACTCTCGACCACCAGTCAGGAAGCAGCTTGACTCAGTGTGGCGCCTGAGTGAGCACTCTCGACCACCAGTCAGGAAGCAGCTTGACTCAGTGTGGCGCCTGAGTGAGCACTCTCGACCACCAGTCAGGAAGCAGCTTGACTCACTTCAGAGTCATAATAAACTATTATTTGCCGTTATCTTTGACTAGTAATGTGTCTTTAGCAATGCTGATTATTTCTTCAGATTGTTTTCACTTGTGTAATAGTGTCTGTTGTGAGGAAAGAATTAGATTTCTTCATTTTCCTCAAATGTCATCAATTTTATTCATGTGCCTTTTTTTTTTGCTTTGCTTAAGCTTACACAAGCTTTAGGGGTTGACATAGATGACGTGGGCACAGTAGACGACCAAGAACATACCAACGCCAGCAAAACACCGCGTAGACTCAGGGGTGACACTCGGAAGTGCACTGGTGGGTGGTGGACGCAGGTGAAGGTCGGGGATGGTTACAGTGTTGTGGACGCTGGTGTGTCAGCCATGGTGGGTCCCAGAGTACAAGTGAGTCGTGGTTGTGGATGTCTTCCCCCAACACCTGTCCAGGATGACACATGCAACACTGACACCTGTCTCAACGGTGGCCGATGTTTGCCCACGCCCTCAGGCACCAGGTAAGTTGAGACTCTGACTCTTCCTGTGACTCTTGGCAGGAGAGACATTCTGGATGTTTAAGTGAAACAGCAATACCATCACAATCATAAAGATCTTCCCTTATGTTTGGTCGCACATGACCATTCACTATCAATGACCGGGCAAAACTCAAAAACAAAGGAAAAAAACATATAACCTTTCTCTCTCTCTCTCTCTCTCTCTCTCTCTCTCTCTCTCTCTCTCTCTCTCTCTCTCTCTCCTCTCTCTCTCTCTCTCCGCTCTCGCTCTCTCTCTCGCTCTCTCTCTCGCTCTCTCTCTCTCTCTCTCTCTCTCTCTCTCTCTCTCTCTCTCTCTCTCTCTCTCTCTCTCTCTCTCTCTCTCTCTCTCTCTCTCTCTCTCTCTCTCTCTCTCTCTCTCTCTCTCTCTCTCTCTCTCTCACGCAAAGGCGCTCTGTGTACCACTAACAATAATCTTCAACACATGTATCGAAACAGGGCTACTACCTGAGGTATGGAAGACAGCGAATGGAGTTCCCAATTTTTAAAAAAGAGACAGACACGCACCATTAAACTACAGACCAGTGTCACTGACATGTATAGTATGCAAATTCCTGGAGAAAATTAACAGGAGAAGAATGGTGGAGCACCTAGAAAGGAACGAGCTTATAAATGACAACACTGATGCAGAGACGGGAAATCCTGTGTCACAAACCTACTAGAGTTCAATAACAAGGTGACAGCAGTAAGACAAGAGAGAGAGGGGTGGGTAGATTGCATCTTCTTGGACTGTAAAAAGGCCTTTGACGCAGTTCCACACAAGATTAATACAAAAGCTGAAGGACCAGGCAGGTATGACAGGGAAGGCACTGCAATGGATCAGAGAATACCTGACGGGAAGACATCAGGGAGTCATGGTACGTGACGAGGTATCAGAGTGAGCACCTGTGACGAGACCTCTACAACACAATTATCCTCAAAGATTTGTTAAGTTTACCGTGAATTAAGGAAAGATCCTGGACTTCACCTTACGAAACAGACAAAGCAAATGCGATAGTAATTATGGACAAGGTAGATTACAGTGGAAAAATGAACATGTTATTAGAAGACGAGGGAACTTACGTGTCCCTTAAAATATTCTCCCTGCTGGACTTACAAGTGATAACCTGGGGAGAACTTTTCCGATTAGCGTTTGAGTTTCATCATTCGTGCATCTTACTCAGGCAAAGGCTCAGATAGTTGTTGATGTGTGGGTGAGCACTCATCAGTCTCATACGAACACCACAGCTGCTTCTGTGCGATTTTTTGAGATTATCTCTTCTTGATTTGCTTCTAAGTTTGAAACAGGCGCTCCACTTAGAAGACTCGGGAAATGATCTATCTTTCGTGTGATAAATGGGGAATGTTTTTTTCTGAATAGTTTGAAATCTCGAACACTGATGTGTTTGGTTTCCGTAAAGGAAAACTTAAAATCGTAAAGAACTATGCAAGTCCAAGTTTGCAAATTTTATTAAATAGTTCGCTATGTTCTCCGTGCAAGAACTGGAGAAAGTATTTTTTGATCGGACTGTGTAGTTGTCAATTTGTCAATTTTATTAAAGAAATCGTGACATTGATTTCCATATGATAACTTTTGAATTTTATGCTGGAAATGATGTTAGTGGAGTCATAGTCTTATCAGACAGCTGCAGAAACAGAGAAGTTACGCACACTAACTCAGTATATCAGGGAAGCATGCCACTTTGTGCTCTTATGTTCCTTATTACCTTTACCATCCAAAACATACCAAGCAAAATGTTTTCACATCAGTGAAATGGTTTAATATATATATATATATATATATATATATATATATATATATATATATATATATATATATATATATATATATATATATACATATATATATAGTGCAAAAATTGTAGAGGGATAAGTCTGTTGAGTATACCTGGTAAAGTGTATGGTAGAGTTAGTTATTATTGAAAGAATTAAGAGTAAGACGGAGAATAGGATAGCAGATGAACAAGGAGGCTTTAGGAAAGGTAGGGGGTGTGTGGACCAGGTGTTTACAGTGAAACATATAAGTGAAAAGTATTTAGATAAGGCTAAAGAGGTTTTTGTGGCATTTATGGATTTGGAAAAGGCGTATGACAGGGTGGATAGGGGGGCAATGTGGCAGATGTTGCAGGTGTATGGTATAGGAGGTAGGTTACTGAAAGCAGTGAAGAGTTTTTACGAGGATAGTGAGGCTCAAGTTAGAGTATGTAGGAAAGAGGGAAATTATTTCCCAGTAAAAGTAGGCCTTAGACAAGGATGTGTGATGTCACCGTGGCTGTTTAATATATTTACATATGGGGTTGTAAGAGAAGTAAATGCGAGGGTCTTGGCAAGAGGCGTGGAGTTAAAAGATAAAGAATCACACATAAAGTGGGAGTTGTCAAAGCTGCTCTTTGCTGATGACACTGTGCTCGTGGGAGATTCTGAAGAGAAGTTGCAGAGGTTGGTGGATGAATTTGATAGGGTATGTAAAAAAAGAAAATTGAAAGTGAATACAGGAAGGAGTAAGGTTATGAGGATAACAAAAAGATTAGGTGATGAAAGATTGGATATCAGATTGGAGGGAGAGAGTATGGAGGAGGTGAATGTATTTAGATAATTGGGAGTGGACGTGTCAGCGGATGGGTCTGTGAAAGATGAGGTGAATCATAGAATTGATGAGGGGAATAGGGTGAGTGGTGCACTTGGGAGTCTGTGGAGACAAAGAACTTTGACCTTGGAGGCAAAGAGGGGAATGTATGGGAGTATAGTTTTACCCATGCTCTTATCTGGGTGTGAAGCATGGGTGATGAATGTTGCAGCGAGGAGAAGGCTGGAGGCAGTGGAGATGTCATGTCTGAGGGCAATGTGTGGTGTGAATATAATGCAGAGAATTCGTAGTTTGGAAGTTAGGAGAAGGTGCAGGATTGCCAAAACTGTTGTCCAGAAGGCTGAGGAAGGGTTGTTGAGGTGGTTCGGACATGTAGAGAGAATGGAGCGAAACAGAATGACTTCATGAGTGTATCAGTCTGCAGTGGAAGGAAGGCGGGGTAGGGGTCGGCCTAGGAAAGGTTGGAGGGAGGGGGTAAAGGAGGTTTTGTGTGCGAGGGGCTTGGACTTCCAGCGGGCATGCGTAAGCGTGTTTGATAGGAGTGAATGGAGACAAATGGTTTTTAATACTTGACGTGCTGTTGGAGTGTGAGCAAAGTAACATTTATGAAGGGATTCAGGGGAAACCGGCAGACCGGACTTGAGTCCTGGAGATGGGAAGTACAGTGCCTGCACTCTGAAGGAGGGGTGTTAATGTTGCAGTTTAAAAACTGTAGTGTAAAGCACCCTTCTGGCAAGACAGTGATGGAGTGAATGATGGTGAAAGTTTTTCTTTTTCGGGCCACCCTTCCTTGGTGGGAATCGGCCAGTGTGTTAATAAAAAATAAAATTATATATATACATATATATACATATACATATATATATATATATATATATATATATATATATATATATATATATATATATATATATATATATATATATATATATTATATATATATATATATATATATATATATTCTTAGGTATTAGATACCAAACATCAACATACCTGTACCATTTAGCTCTATTGGGAAGGCTTTCGTTAAGCAGTCTTGTTTTAAAATACCAAACGTCTGAGTATAAAACTTGCAATTAAACACAAACTTTTGCATCAACAATATAGAGTTTAATAAACTCAGTGACGATACAGATACTTGTTCTAAACTTAAAAAGAATCCTTTTGATTCAGTTAATAGTAACTTTATTAAGACAATAAATTAAAATATTCAAGATCACCAATCCATCTTTACCATATATATGTGTGGACTAATAGTAACACACAAACCAGGTAATCCAGCCACATCCATTATTAGCTCCATAGGTTCAGTTTTCTATAAATTATCCAAATGTCTAGTAGATATGTTGAGCCTTATTGTTGGCAAAATTTCTTAATTATAATGTTAACAATAATTTTGATTTAGTTGATAAATTAAGCACCATGATTCATTTATATAATTATAATAAGGTTAATTTTGATGTTACTTCTTTGTTTACAAAAGTTTCTGTTGATGATTTATTAAGTTTCCTTTCTGAAGAACGTGTTAATTATGATTTATCATTGCCAGTTCCTTCAGTCACTGAGCTTCTCAAATTTTGTACTGTTGATGCAAAGTTTGTATTTAATGGTGAGTTTTGCAGCCAGAAGTTGGTATGGCAATGGGTTATCCTCTCACCTGTGTCTTTAACAATAAATTTGTTCATAGAATATTTTAAAACAAGATTGCTTCACAAAATCCCTCCCAACTGAGTTAAGTGGCAGAGATATACTGATAATGTTTTGTGTCTAATGCATAAGAATATAGATATAAATAATTTCCTTGAAGAATTAAGTAGTCTAACTCATTCTATAAATTTTACTGTTGAGTTTGAACAAAATAAGTCGTTGCTTTTATTTTTAGATATGTTATTAATTAATTTTAACCATGATTTTTAAATTCAAAATATACATAAAAGCAACAAATAACTGTTCTTATGTGCACAGTTATTCTTCACATCATGATTCAGTTAAACTTTCTGTGTTCTCATCAATGTTTTGAGAACTTTGAATATTTCCAGCCCAAAGTTCATGGATGAAGAAATCTTGAAGATATATGAAATAGCTAATGAACTAAAATACCCAAAATATTTAACTGATAAATCCTTTAAAACTGCTTGAAACACATTATGCAATTTAAAAAAGATTAACTAAGAATATATTGGTTCTCCCTTAACATAAAATCCTCCTCAATATACCTTCTCTACTTAAGAATTTTAAAATCGAAGTTGTATTTAAAAATCTTCTGACTAAAAATTTTTCCAAAAATACTGATGATTGTGTCTACAACATTCCTTAAAAAGTTTTAGTTTATTATTATCAAACTGTGAAAAGTCTTGAACTAAGATTAAAACAACATAAATATATAATTAAAGTTGGATAAGAGTATAATTGTTTATTCATGAGAAATTTTAACCATCCAGTTGACTGTCAAAAGGCCGAGAAAATTGTATCAGACAGGACAATGGTTAAGAGAAATATAACTGAATCAAACTTTATTAAAAATAGTTTCAGTTTAATATGAATAATGGTTTAGGGTTATGCAAGTCATAATTAATTAATATGGTTAGAATTTAAGCTGTATTTGACAAGTCCTCGACCGTCCTCCAGCATCATACTGGCTCGGTGGTAATGTTCTGTGTCAGCTGATATCTCAACCATATAAGTCTTCTCTTGTTCTCTTATTTTTACAGGTCCTTGATGATGTGAGAAATCATGAAAACGTTGTTTTGTATATATATAAGGCGAAAATTTGCGTATGCAATAATTTCACCAAAATCATTCTGAACCTAACGAAAAATATATATTTCACTGGGTTTGTTTAATATTAAATTATTGTAAACAAATCTAAAATAGATTTAGTTGGGTTAGGCTAAAATAAATTGCTCTTGTTATAATAAGGTTAGGTAAGTTTTCTAAGATTCTTTTGGTGCAAAATTATAAATTTTTACATTAACATTAATGAAGAAAATATATCTTTAAACGTATAAGAGAAAATTTCAGAAAGGAATTAATTTTAAATGAGTTCCCGTTAATTGACCAGTTTTACATATTCGGCACGACATATATATATATATATATATATATATATATATATATATATATATATATATATATATATATATATATATATATATATATATACATATACATATATATATATATATATATATATATATATATATATATATATATATATATATATATACATATATATACATACATGTATTTCGCACACGTATCTCGCGAACTTTCATTGGACTCGCTCTGTGACCTTTGTTCTATTGGTAAAAAGTTCACCATAACAAAAAAAAAAAACATTTTATCGGGTAAATAATCTATTGTGCATCAGATGCCACTTAATAACAGTGAACCACAACAGCCTGCTTGATTGCCTATCGCATTCTGTATACTGAATAGGGAGAGGTTTCATTTTTGTTTCATTTTTTTTTATTCAAAGTCCATTTGGTGGGTCAATAATTTTGTGTTTTAAGTTTTAACTTCGTAATACTGAAGTTGCTTATTTTATTCTGATCTGATATCCCTATTTAAATTACGGGTATTGTATGCAAATTTATTAATAAAGCGAGTGTGCCAGACATGTTGGAGTACAGGTATAATCTTTATCTATTGAGATTCTTTAATTCCCCTTACAGGTGTGTCTGTCCCCACGACACCTGGGGCTCCAGGTGCAAGGTACTAAGTAGGTACTTCGAGGGTGCGACTTATCCGAGCGAGGGAGACAATGTAGAGAGTGGCAGCTGGTCATGGGTGCCATCTATTCCCTCCTGCTCTGAGGTTCACCTCAGCCTTGAAGTTCTCACCACCTCCCCAGATGGAACACTTCTCTACTCCGGTCCACAGCAGAGGCAGAGGATTTCCAGACCATCAGTAGTGGTGAAAAATACACAGAGAGAAAAGAATAATGTGGAGACCACAAGGAGAGACATGAATGGTGTAAAAGAGACTCCAAGGAGAGACAGGAATGGTGTAGAGACAAGAAGAGACAGGAATGGCTTAAAGAAAACATTAGATAAAAGTGCGAATAACAAAACCCCGAATAAAATTAATGATATTTTAGAAGGGGCTTTACGATCTATTAACACACTGGAAGAAGTTTTGGGAAAAGCTGACAACATTTTAGAAAACGCTTTAAGAGCAGATAGTGAGGATGAGAAGGTGCCAACAAATACCACTGACGTGTCGGAAGTGTCTCCGAGAACGCCCATCGAGACCACAGAAGAATTACTAAGAGGGAGGAGCGACCTGGTGCTGCTGGAACTACGAGGAGGTCATCCAACCTTGCTACTGGACCTCGGGGGAGGCGCCGTCACACTTACTCTCAACGCCTCGTACACCCTCGCAGACAACACCTGGCACAGGATAGATCTTATATGGAAAGACGAGGTAAGTCCCACATGTTCCTACATATTGAAAATGATTTACAGACTTCTCCAACGAGGGGATCACAAATGGTTATCGTTTCTGACTACTGGCAAAGGACTATAGGGAATTCTGTGGTAGGTTTTGTGATTAAAAAGATGGGACTAGTTTGGTTTATTAGACACTACTTACAGATATATACTTTATATAGTGTTACTCTATGGTACGAGGGATGTAGTGTTGATGACGTCATCAAGATGGCCACCAGTGAATCCCATAAAATATTCAGCATTGTTTTTATTTATTGATCAGTTTCAATGCTCCTAAACATTTATTGATCAGTTTCAATGCTCCTAAACATTTATTGATCAGTTTCAATGCTCCTAAACATTTATTGATCAGTTTCAATGCTCCTAAACATTTATTGATCAGTTTCAATGCTCCTAAACATTTATTGATCAGTTTCAATGCTCCTAAACATTTATTGATCAGTTTCAATGCTCCTAAACATTTATTGATCAGTTTCAATGCTCCTAAACATTTTCACTAAAATCATTGGTTTCTCAAGTATTTCCATTTTTTATTTAAACTTCATATGTGTTTGTTATTGGATGTTCCAGTAGAAATAAAACCATCAAAATAAAGCTTGATCTGTTGGTACTGTAAATTGTGATAATTTATTTAATACTAAGACTAATGTTAATATAACAATAATATAACGTCCTTTAAAAGGTTACTAATAATTATTAACATTATCTTCACTTTAATAATCTTTACCCTCATAGTTTGTTTACTGTAGTTAACTGACTCTTTAGAGTCATAATGATGCATGTATGATGCTTCTTACACTGACTCTTTAGAGTCATAATGATGCATGTATGATGCTTATTACACCGACTCTTTAGAGTCATAATGATGCATGTATGATGCTTCTTACACTGACTCTTTAGAGTCATAATGATGCATGTATGATGCTTCTTACACTGACTCTTTAGAGTCATAATGATGCATATATGATGCTTCTTACACTGACTCTTTAGAGTCATAATGATGCATGTATGATGCTTCTTACACTGACTCTTCAGGTACATGGTCAACTACTGTTGCTCTACAAACTACCAGCTGCAGCTACCAACGGTACTCCAGCTTTACTCTGGTGTAATGTAAGAATACTGAGGATCACACTGTGGGAAGCGGGGGAATAATTACTGACGTAGTTCTATAATAGCACGTGCTGTGTAGCCCTTGTGGTTTAGCGCTTCTTTTTGATTATAATAATAATAATATAATAGCTCGCCACTGCATGAAGATAAGATTTATTTTAATTTTTAACTCGGGGGAAAGTTAGCCGTCCAGGATAACCCAAGAAAGTCAGGGCGTCAACTAGGTCTGTCGGTTTTATTTCCGTTGTTTGTTTTTTTATCTTGTGCCTCGGGATGCGACCCACACTAAACAACTAACACTCAGGTATCTACTTATTGCTAGGTGAACATAGGCAGCTGATGTAGGGAAACATGTGCAACGTGCCGGGGATAGCACCACGGGCACTCAGTGTGTGAGGCAAGTGCTTTGTTTACCGAGCCACGGGACACCTCGGTGTTGTGTTACCTCTAGTAACATCTAGAGCTCAAAGAGCACAGAATACAATATTACTTTTCCTGGAAATAAATGGTATAAAATACCGACACAATGGAAATATAAACAGATAGGAAATATAAATATAAACAGAAGGAAAGCGAGTATTTATAGTCAGGTTCAGAATGCTGAGGTCAGGTGGAGAATGCTGCATCTGATGATGTACCGAGTGGGGTTATAGAGTCTAAAATCTTGGGTAGCTTGGAAAGGAGATTGGATAAGTTTGTGAGCAGACCTTCTACAGTGTTCTTATGTGGGATAGCGATGAAGAAGTTTCTTGGCAAGTGGTTCAGCTATGTTATAGAAGCCACTATTCTGGTTGAAGTTGTCGGATATAGAAATAAGTGATGATTCCAGGATTCTTCGGTATTGAGTGTTGTCTTCTGTGGCGATAAGTCTTGAGTTTCTGTAGTTTATCAAGTGGTTGTGTGAATTACGGTGTCGTACGCAGGCATTCCTTGTGTCGTCAGACCTGCTTGCGTATTGGTGTTCTGAAATACGTGTTTGGAGGTCCCGTGATGTTTCGCCCACGTATAACTTGTTGCAGTCATTACAAGGGATTATGTATACCCCTGCAGAGGGTGGAAGCTTGTCCTGTCTACCACTGGTAATGTCCTTGATGGTCGTGGTTGTGGAGGTAGATACTTGAAATGAGGTATTGGAAAAGATGTTGGAAACGTGTTTGGCAATGGAGTTGGTGGGGAGGACTATGTATCTCTTCTCGGCAGTGTCTTCTCTGGGTGTGTTGAAGATGTTTAATGCCCGTCGTCTGCAGTCTCTGATGAAGTGACGAGGATAGTGGAGTTTAGAAAATACTTGTTCAATCATCGTGCATTCTTCTTCAAGAAACTCATTGCTGCAGATTCTGAGTGCACGCAGGAAGAAGCCTATAATTACACCACGTTTGGTTTTGGTGTCGTGGTGAGAGTAAAAGTGGAGAAGATCGTTTTGGTTGGTGGGTTTTCGATAGACTTTAAAACGAAGTTCGTGGTCAGCTTTGCAAAGCAGAACATCAAGGAAAGGAAGAGTGTTGTCGACTTCTTCTTCAAGTGTGAACTGGATTGAAGGCTCGACCTGGTTGAGGTTGTCTTGGAGAGCTTTAACATTGAAGCGTTTAGGAGTTATGAGGAGAATGTCGTCAACATAACGGAGCCAGGAGACAGACGAAGGAATAATGGTGGAGAAACGTTCGGCTTCTAGATGTTCCATGTATAGGTTCGCCAGGACCGCACTGAGTGGCGAACCCATGGGTAGTCCAAAAGTCTGCTGAAAGAGGTGATTTTCGAAAGAGAAACACGTAAAGCCAACACATAGTTCAACAAGGTCGATGAAATCGCTGGCTGGAATGGGAAGGTCAAGTGAATCGTCAATTTTCCTGCGCAAGAGATCGATGGCTTGTGTAGTAGGTACTTTGGTGAATAGGGAAGTCACGTCAAGGCTGGAAAGTTTCTTGTTCCTGAGAACTGGACCTTCTTCTAAAAGCTTACTCACTTCGCAACAGACACAATTTTCTTCGTGATTGCATCGAAGAAATGGTCTTACCAAGATCTACTCCTCCTCAAATTGCCAACATCAAACCACCTTTCTCCGCTACAGCTCGGACCTACCTTGAAGAGTGTGCAGACGACTTAAACAATGCTACAAAGGAAGCTTTTCTCCAAGCCAGAGCACTAGGCACAACACTCCGGGGCAACATGAACAGACGCACCGCCGAAATCATTCGCAGCAGAGTTACCACAGCGAATGTTCAACAGAAGATCAGACTTACTAGGAACTACAAACACTCTGCGATAATAGTAATTGGAAAAGTTTAGGAAGACCTGAAATTATTCAAAATCTTTCATCTCGTCCACTGTCAACCACAGAAACTGAAGCCCTCAGCTTAGGCCTCAAATTCGCAACAGGAATTACGAAACCAAAACAAGACCTCAATTTCATCGCCAAAAACTACAGACACAATGACTCCGACTTCCAAAAAGGCTATCTTCAAGGCATCATCTCAGCAGCCGTCTCAACACGCAGCTCCCCAGTCATACCTCGACGTTACATCAATGCACTCAAAGGTTTAGCAGAAGACACGACCATCAGGGTCACCACCGCCGACAATGGAGGTGGTGTTGTTATCATGAACACTGACGATTACAGGAACAAAATGCTCAATCTACTTAATAACCCAGATACCTACAAACCTCTCACAACTAACCAAGTGGACAACCTTACTAAAACTTTTCTTCAAAGGACTCGCCGCATTCTGAGGGGCTCAGAACAAGGGAAGAAACTTCTGCACACCATGCCCAGCAACCCCAGACCTGCCAGAATGTACGGCCTGCCAAAACCTCACAAGCCAGGTATCCCACTGAGGCCCATATCCTCGGGAATAGGCAGTGCTCCCCACCAGCTCTCAGGAATTCTCGCAAAACACCTCTCTAAACTCTTGGGCACTATCAGTCCAGCACATCTCAAACACTCGGGTGATCTTCTCAATCGCATTCGCAACATCAACATCAGGAACAAGAAACTTTCCAGCCTTGACGTGACTTCCCTATTCACCAAAGTACCTACTACACAAGCCATCGATCTCTTGCGCAGGAAAATTGACGATTCACTTGACCTTCCCATTCCAGCCAGCGATTTCATCGACCTTGTTGATCTATGTGTTGGCTTTACGTGTTTCTCTTTCGAAAATCACCTCTTTCAGCAGACTTTTGGACTACCCATGGGTTCGCCACTCAGTGCGGTCCTGGCGAACCTATACATGGAACATCTAGAAGCAGAACGTTTCTCCACCATTATTCCTTCGTCTGTCTCCTGGCTCCGTTATGTTGACGACATTCTCCTCATAACTCCTAAACGCTTCAATGTTAAAGCTCTCCAAGACAACCTCAACCAGGTCGAGCCTTCAATCCAGTTCACACTTGAAGAAGAAGTCGACAACACTCTTCCTTTCCTTGATGTTCTGCTTTGCAAAGCTGACCACGAACTTCGTTTTAAAGTCTATCGAAAACCCACAAACCAAAACGATCTTCTCCACTTTTACTCTCACCACGACACAAAAACCAAACGTGGTGTAATTATAGGCTTCTTCCTGTGTGCACTCAGAATCTGCAGCAATGAGTTTCTTGAAGAAGAATGCACGATGATTGAACAAGTATTTTCTAAACTCCACTATCCTCGTCACTTCATCAGAGACTGCAGACGACGGGCATTAAACATCTTCAACAAACCCAGAGAAGACACTGCCGAGAAGAGATACATAGTCCTCCCCACCAACTCCATTGCCAAACACGTTTCCAACATCTTTTCCAATACCTCATTTCAAGTATCTACCTCCACAACCACGACCATCAAGGACATTACCAGTGATAGACAGGACAAGCTTCCACCCTCTGCAGGGGTATACATAATCCCTTGTAATGACTGCAACAAGTTATACGTGGGCGAAACATCAAGGGACCTCCAAACACGTATTTCAGAACACCAATACGCAAGCAGGTCTGACGACACAAGGAATGCCTGCGTACAACACCGTAATTCACACAACCACTTGATAAACTACAGAAACTCAAGACTTATCGCCACAGAAGACAACACTCAATACCGAAGAATCCTGGAATCATCACTTATTTCTATATCCGACAACTTCAACCAGAATAGTGGCTTCTATAACATAGCTGAACCACTTGCCAAGAAACTTCTTCATCGCTATCCCACATAAGAACACTGTAGAAGGTCTGCTCACAAACTTATTCAATCTTCTTTCCAAGCTACCCAAGATTTTAGACTCTATAACCCCACTCGGTACATCATCAGATGCAGCATTCTCCACCTGACCTCAGCATTCTGAACCGGACTATAAATACTCGCGTTCCTTCCACCCCAGGTAGTTCTGTTTGTGACTTGAAAAAGCCCACTGTGTGGGCGAAACGTAGTCAATAAAGGATCACATTATACTGCATATGTGTTTATATTTCCATTACTTTTCCTCACAACCAGACTTCCTTTTTCAGACATCACATAGTTCAGGATCAGATTCCTTCTAAACGCTCATTACTACAGAGCACCTACAGTTGTAGGTGCACCTACAGTGCTCTGTAGTTACAGGCAGTAAGTACAGCAGTACTGCACTTACTGAGCAACGGCACTGGTATCCTCGTGTACCCATTGGTACCAAACGGGTATAAAGAATAAAGGAAGATACACAGAGTTTGTCTGGGTACAATTTCTAGAGGATCCTCAAAAAATGTATTTTAGGTGTGATATAAGTGTTGAAAATCGAGCACATTTTTTATGGTTGTCAGTAAATACTTGGGATAAACTTTTTAGTTTATTCCAAGTATTTAATTTAATAGTCTCGTTTAGCTTGTCTTACATATATTTTTTTATCTCTCTTCTAATGTGAATACAGTCAGTGGCCACTTTATTAGGTACGCCTGTACGCCTGGTAATTAATGAAAATTTATAATTTGTCAATCACGTGGCAGCACCTAATTGCCCAAAATCATGCAGACATAGTCAAGAGTTTCAGTAGGCCTGGTGGCTAAGGGTCTCACTTCACACGGGTTCGATTCCCAGCGAAGGTTGAAACATTAGGCGTGTTTCTTTACACTGGTTGTCTATGTTCACCCATCAGTAACATAGGTACCTGGGTGTTAGTCGACTGGTGTGGGTCGCATCCTGGGACAAAACTGACCTAATTTGCCGGAAATGCTCTGCATAACAAGCGGCTTTCTATATAGTAGTATATCATTGATGTCAGCTACGGTCTGTATACCTTGTACATGTACTAGTAGTAAATAAAGATGTTATTATTAGTATATTATTATATATAGTTGTTTAGACCAAACGTCAGAATGAAGAAGAAATGTGATCCGAGGGATTTCGACCGTGGAATGATTGTTGGTGCCAGACGAGGTGGTTTAAATATCTCTGAAACTACTGATCTCATGAGATTTTCACAGACAACACACTCTAGAATTTACAGAGAATGGTGTGAAAACCCCAGAACATCCAGTGAGCAGCAGATCCGTGGGTCTTGTTAATGTGAGAAGTCTGAGGAGAATAGTCCTGTTAGTTCCATCTGACAGAAAAATGACAGTAAATCAAATAACCATGCATTGAACACACAACACGTCAAACCTTGAAGTGGATGGTCACAGCAGCAGAACACCACACCCGGTACCACTCTTCTCAGTTAAAAACGGGATGCTGAGGCTACTATTGGTACAGGCTCACTAAAATAACTAAAGATTGGAAAAACGTCGCCTGGTCTGACGAAGTGCGATTTCTGCTGTGGCATGCAGATACTAGGGTTAGAATTTAACGTTAACAACATGAATCCATGGATCCATCCTGCATATGCAGACGACAAATCTGCAGAAACTGCTTGATGCTATCATGTTAACATGGACCAAAATCTCTAAGGAATGTTTCCAGCATCTTGTTGAATCCATGCCAAGAAGAATTCAGGCAGTTCTGGAGGTACAGGAGGAGCCTAAACAATACTAAGAGAATGTATCTAATAAAGTGGCCACTGACTGAATATTGATTCATGAAATGACCCTCATTTCTTTTGACACACCTATAAATTCCTTACTTCTCCTCTGTAAGATGATTGGAACTCCTGTTCATCCATTTCGGACCATTTCTATTCGATCGTATTTCTCCATAGGGAATAAAGTGTCATACTGATAGTTGTCCTCATCACCCAGTGATAGGTGTTCTCTGTACCAACCGTATGTAAATAAAACACAAAGTATCATATTATGGATGGTATACAATACTGACTAGTTGAAGAATGAAGCACATAAGTAACACCTGAGTATCTTTATTACCGAAAGGTTTCACCTGTGTAATAGGTTTCTTCAGATGAGTACAGGAAGCGGAATTCTTGTAACAGTAGGAGTAGTTTTGACGTGATGAGTCTGTCAACCTCCGTAAGAGACAGTCAGTCCCACAAGCCTAAATCATAACTAACTCTCAGGTAAGAAGAGAGAGGTGAAGTGATGATAGGCGAAGATTACCGCCTGAATGGAGTGTCTTCAGTCGTAGAAACAGAGCCAGCAGCAGAGTGCTTGGTGGCATAAAGTAACATCATACAGGCTGAGGACAGCTGGTAGGTGCAAAAGTCCAGGACTTCACTTACTTGGAATGACCCATTCCAAGTTGTACATAGTTGTCGAAATATTAAGTGAATGAGACACATGTGGAACATTTGGATATTTTTATTACTAAAACATAACACTGGAAACAGTAGAAATGATCAGTCCGTCACCAGCAGGAGGAGGAGGAGGAGGAGGAGTTTATTCTCTCAAGCATAGGCATGCTGCTAGACTTTATGTACTTAAGTAGAAGTGAGATGAAGCAGCTGGAGTTGACATCATAGGTGAGTGTGGTCCACAAGTGGAAGTAGGTTATGATAAACGATTGTTTAGCAAAGGCGTTGTGAAAGATATCCCTGTAGCAAGACAATATAGTGCTGCTGTGTCAGCCAACAAAATGGTATATAAAGCCTGGCCGTTTGCCTGTGCTATAGACTTGTGGGACTGACTACCTCCCACAGATTGACGAACTGATCACGTAAAACAATCTTTACTGCTCCCTATATTCGACTGAAGAATCTTTTTCTGTGCAGGAGAAACGTATCGGCAATAAAGATTCCCGAGTGTTGGGGATACGTCTTAATCATCATGTTACTGATAGTATATAATATCGAATATCATATATCTGCAGTACATGTGTCTTATTCATCAAGGTTTGTATATTGTATAATTTGATTCTTATGTCTTTATATAGCCACTGTACATTAGCATGTCCATCTATACGTGATTAATGTTCTCTTAAGAGCCAGTGCTTAGTGGGTACTGGTGTGTCCAGCTGAACCAACAACACATTATGCTGCCCACAGTTGGTCGAGATGATAGTGGACTTGTGTTCTGGTGGCAGCCTTGACACCCAGCCACCCGCCCTCAAGCCCTAATCATACCCTGCTACCAGACGCCCACACCTGCCGAGGCGCTGCCAGACTGCCTAGGACCGCCCGAGTCCTTAACACAAATCAGCCCCTACAGGTGGGCGGACTAGCGCACCCACCTCCCTCCCACACGTCATACGGGTGGCCGGCACCACTACACCCGCTGCCGTTCAAGGGATGTATAAGAAACTTGAGAATTAATGGTGAGGTGAGGTTTATTTTCCTGTTATTCTTGTCTCATTTTAGTAAGTTAATTTAATATCATTATCATGCACCTCATACTTATCCTGTGGTCGATGGTCAAAAGTTTACAGAGGTACGTAATAGATCCAGGGGCTGTACCTCAACATTACAGAGGTATATAATGGGTCCAGGGACTGTACCTCAACATTACAGAGGTACATAATGGGTCCAGGGACTGTACCTCAACATTACAGAGGTACACAATTGGTCCAGGGACTGTACCTGAACATTACAGAGGTACATAATGGGTCCAGGGACTGTAGCTCAACATTACAGAGGTACATAATGGGTCCAGGGACTGTACCTCAACATTACAGAGGTACATAATGGGTCCAGATACTTTACCTCAACATTACAGAGGTACATAATGGGTCCAGGGACTGTACCTCAACATTACAGAGGTACATAATGCGTTTAGGGACTGTACCTCAACATTACAGAGGTACATAATGCGTTTAAGGACTGTACCTCAACATTACAGAGGTATATAATTGGTCCAGGAACTGTACCTCAACATTACAGAGGTACATAATGGGTCCAGGGACTGTACCTCAACATTACAGAGATACATAATGGGTCCAGAGACTGTACCTCAACATTACAGAGGTACATAATGGGTCCAGCGACTGTACCTTAACATTACAGAGGTACATAATGGGTCCAGGGACTGTACCTTAACATTACAGAGGTACATAATGGGTCCAGGGACTGTACCTCAACATTACAGAGATACATAATGGGTCCAGCGACTGTACCTTAACATTACAGAGGTACATAATGGGTCCAGCGACTGTACCTTAACATTACAGAGGTACATAATGGGTCCAGCGACTGTACCTTAACATTACAGAGGTACATAATGGGTCCAGGGACTGTACCTTAACATTACAGAGGTACATAATGGGTCCAGGGACTGTACCTTAACATTACAGAGGTACATAATGGGTCCAGGGACTGGACCACAAAGTTCTGATAGCTGAACAAGTTACAAAGGTAATGAACTATTTACATGTTCACATCTGATCAGTTTGTTCACCCTGGATACTTACTGATGTTACACACCAGTGACACATTGTATACAACCCTGATGTTGACACACCAGTGACACATTGTACACAACACTGATGTTACACAGCAGTGACACATTGTACACAACCCTGATGTTACACACCAGTGACACATTGTACACAACCCTGATGTTGACACACCAGTGACACATTGTACACAACACTGATGTTACACCAGTGACACATTGTACACACACTTATGTTACACACCAGTGACACATTGTACACAACCCTGATGTTGACACACCAGTGACACATTGTACACAACACTGATGTTACACAGCAGTGACACATTGTACACAACACTGATGTTACACACCAGTGACACATTGTACACAACACTGATGTTACACACCAGTGACACATTGTACACAACACTGATGTTACACACCAGTGACACATTGTACACAACACTGATGTTACACATCAGTGACACATTGTACACAACACTGATGTTACACACCAGTGACACATTGTACACAACCCTGATGTTGACACACCAGTGACACATTGTACACAACACTGATGTTACACAGCAGTGACACATTGTACACAACCCTGATGTTGACACACCAGTGACACATTGTACACAACACTGATGTTACACAGCAGTGACACATTGTACACAACACTGATGTTACACACCAGTGACACATTGTACACAACACTGATGTTACACACCAGTGACACATTGTACACAACACTGATGTTGACACACCAGTGACACATTGTACACAACACTGATGTTACACACCAGTGACACATTGTACACAACACTGATGTTACACACCAGTGACACATTGTACACAACACTGATGTTACACACCAGTGACACATTGTACACATCACTGATGTTGACACATCAGTGACACATTGTACACATCACTGATGTTGACACATCAGTGACACATTGTACCCATCATATCGTAAAGGGTTCTTAAATTGAGATATCGTAGGTTGAAAGTAGACACACTTGTAGGATGGTAAATATATTGTCAGACTGAGATGGTGAGGGATAGAGCCCACTGCCTTGCCTGTCTACGCCTGGATCGTCTGCCGCCGAGTGAGGCCGGGACAGGGGCATGAGCCCACACATCTGTATCCCGTGACGTCACACAAAGCCACAGGCCTACGAGGGATCTCGTGTCTAAAGCACAGGGATGATACTAATATGCTATGCTATATAATACTGGGAATACAGGGATCAGCAACTATGCTGACAATCACTTATATTGACACATCAGTGACACATTGTACCCATCACTTATATTGACACATCAGTGACACATTGTACCCATCACTTATATTGACACATCAGTGACACATTGTACCCATCACTTATATTGACACATCATGTGACACATTGTACCCATCACTTATATTGACACATCAGTGACACATTGTACCCATCACTTATTTGACACATCAGTGACACATTGTACCCATCACTTATATTGACACATCAGTGACACATTGTACCCATCACTTATATTGACACATCAGTGACACATTGTACCCATCACTTATATGACACATCAGTGACACATTGTACCCATCACTTATATTGACACATCAGTGACACATTGTACCCATCACTTATATTGACACATCAGTGACACATTGTACCCATCACTTATATTGACACATCAGTGACACATTGTACCCATCACTTATATTGACACATCAGTGACACATTGTATACATCACTGATGTTGACACATCAGTGACACATTGTACCCATCACTTATATTGACACATCAGTGACACATTGTACCCATCACTTATATTGACACATCAGTGACACATTGTATACATCACTGATGTTGACACATCAGTGACACATTGTATACATCACTGATGTTGACACATCAGTGACACAGTGTACACATCAGTGATGTTGACACATCAGTGACACATTGTACACATCAGTGATGTTGACACATCAGTGACACATTGTACACATCAGTGATGTTGACACATCAGTGACACATTGTATACATCACTGATGTTGACACATCAGTGACACATTGTACACATCAGTGATGTTGACACATCAGTGACACATTGTACACATCAGTGATGTTGACACATCAGTGACACATTGTACACATCAGTGATGTTGACACATCAGTGACACATTGTACACATCAGTGATGTTGACACATCAGTGACACATTGTATACATCACTGATGTTGACACATCAGTGACACATTGTATACATCACTGATGTTGACACATCAGTGACACATTGTATACATCACTGATGTTGACACATCAGTGACACATTGTACACATCACTGATGTTGACACATCAGTGACACATTGTACACATCACTGATGTTGACACATCAGTGACACATTGTACACATCACTGATGTTGACACATCAGTGACACATTGTACACATCACTGATGTTGACACATCACTGATGTTCTCATGATAAGAATAACTTGTCTGTTTTAAATGTTTATTTGGAAGAATATAATTATCTTGCGTCGGTCATGTCATTCTTCACCTCTCCCTGCTGTTCTCCCTGCTGTTTTCCCTGCTGTTCTCCCTGCTGTTCTCCCTGCTGTTCTCCCTGCTGTTCTCCCTCCTGTTCTCCCTCCTGTTCTCCCTCCTGTTCTCCCTGCTGTTCTCCCTGCTGTTCTCCCTGCTGTTCTCCCTGCTGTTCTCCCTGTTGTTCTCCCTGCTGTTCTCCCTGCTGTTCTCCCTGCTGTTCTCCCTGCTGTTCTCCTGCTGTTCTCCCTGCTGTTCTCCCTGCTGTTCTCCCTGCTGTTCTCCCTGCTGTTCTCCCTGCTGTTCTCCCTCCTGTTCTCCCTCCTGTTCTCCCTGCTGTTCTCCCTCCTGTTCTCCCTCCTGTTCTCCCTCCTGTTCTCCCTCCTGTTCTCCCTGCTGTTCTTCCTGCTGTTCTCCCTGCTGTTCTCCCTCCTATTCTCCCTGCTGTTCTCCCTCCTGTTCTCCCTCCTGTTCTCCCTCCTGTTCTCCCTCCTGTTCTCCCTCCTGTTCTCCCTCCTGTTCTCCCTCCTGTTCTCCTTGCTGTTCTCCCTCCTGTTCTCCCTGCTGTTCTCCCTGCTGTTCTCCCTCCTGTTCTCCATGCTGTTCTCCCTCCTGTTCTCCCTGCTGTTCTCCTTCCTGTTCTCCCTGCTGTTCTCCCTGCTGTTCTCCCTGCTGTTCTCCCTGCTGTTCTCCCTGCTGTTCTCCGTGCTGTTCTCCCTGCTGTTCTCCCTGCTGTTCTCCCTTTTGCTCTTCCTGCTGTTCTCCCTGTTGTTCTCCTTGCTGTTCTCCCTGCTGTTCTCCCTTCTGTTCTCCCTGCTGTTCTCCCTTCTGTTCTCTCAGCTGTTCTCCCTGCTGTTCTCCTGCTGTTCTCCGTGCTGTTCTCCTGTTAATCTTCTGCTGTTCTCCTTTGTTCTTTCTGCTGTTCTCCCTGTTCTCCTGCTGTTCTCCCTGCTGTTCTCTCCTGCTGTTCTCCGTGCTGTTCTCCCTGCTGTTCTCCGTGATTTTCTCCCTGCTGTTCTCCCTGCTGTTCTCCCTGCTGTTCTTCCTGCTGTTCTTCCTGCTGTTCTCTCTGTGCTACTCTTCCTGCCCCTGTCTTCGTTACTCTCCCTGATTTTTTCTGCACTACTCACCCTGCCTCACTCTTTGCTACTCTCCCTGCCTCACTAACTGCCACTCTCACTGAGTCACTGTCACTCTTCCTGCCTCACTAACTGCCACTCTCACTGAGCCACTGTCACTCTCCCTGCCTCACTAACTGCCACTCTCACTGAGCCACTGTCACTCTCCCTGCCTCACTAACTGCCACTCTCACTGAGCCACTGTCACTCTCCCTGCCTCACTAACTGCCACTCTCACTGAGCCACTGTCACTCTCCCTGCCTCACTAACTGCCACTCTCACTGAGCCACTGTCACTCTCCCTGCCTCACTAACTGCCACTCTCACTGAGTCACTGTCACTCTCCCTGCCTCACTAACTGCCACTCTCACTGAGCCACTGTCACTCTCCCTGCCTCACTAACTGCCACTCTCACTGAGCCACTGTCACTCTCCCTGCCTCACTAACTGCCACTCTCACTGAGTCACTGTCACTCTCCCTGCCTCACTAACTGCCACTCTCACTGAGCCACTGTCACTCTCCCTGCCTCACTAACTGCCACTCTCACTGAGCCACTGTCACTCTCCCTGCCTCACTAACTGCCACTCACTGAGTCACTGTCACTCTTCCTGCCTCACTAACTGCCACTCACTGAGTCACTGTCACTCTCCCTGCCTCACTAACTGCCACTCACTGAGTCACTGTCACTCTCCCTGCCTGAGTCACTGTCACTCTCCCTGCCTCACTAACTGCCACTCACTGAGTCACTGTCACTCTCCCTGCCTCACTAACTGCCACTCTCACTGAGTCACAGTCACTGTCCCAGCAGCTGGTGGACCTGGGTAGTGACCGTGTAAGCAGACGAAGTTCTACTGGCTGTCCTGCCACTAACTGCCACTCTGCCGGCCTTCACTGCGGCATTCATGGCAGGTATGTTTCATGTTTGGTCCTAATAAGGTCAAGTGGAAGGTCAGGGGCCACGTTAGAGGTCATGCAATATATGGGCGGTCTAAGGTCATGTGGGAGGTAGTAAATCAATCACGTGTGGGAGCTCATAGACAACATGGAGGGCTGTCAATCACACGGGAGGTCATAGACAACATGGAGGGCTGTCAATCACACGGGAGGTCATAGACAACATAGAGGGCTGTCAGTCACACGGGAGCTCATAGACAACATGGAGGGCTGTCAGTCACACGGGAGGTCATAAACAACATGGAGGACTGTCAGTCACACGGGAGGTCATAGACAACATGGAGGACTGTCAGTCACACGGGAGGTCATAGACAACATGGAGGGCTGTCAATCACACGGGAGGTCATAAACAACATGGAGGACTGTCAGTCACACGGGAGGTCATAGACAACATGGAGGGCTGTCAATCACACGGGAGGTCATAAACAACATGGAGGACTGTCAGTCACACGGGAGGTCATAAACAACATGGAGGACTGTCAGTCCCACGGGGGTCATAGACAACATGGAGGCTGTCAAACACACGGGAGGTCATAAACAACATGGAGGACTGTCAGTCACACGGGGGGTCATAGACAACATGGAGGGGTGTCAAACACACGGGAGGGTCATAAACAACATGGAGGACTGTCAGTCACACGGAGGTCATAGACAACAGGAGGGCTGTCAATCACACGGGAGGTCATAAAACAACATGGAGGCTGTCAGTCACACGGGAGGTCATAAACAACCCTGGAGGGACTGTCAGTCACACGGGAGGTCATAGACAACATGGAGGGCTGTCAATCACACGGGAGGTCATAAACAACATGGAGGACTGTCAGTCACACGGGAGGTCATAGACAACATGGAGGGCTGTCAATCACACGGGAGGTCATAAACAACATGGAGGACTGTCAGTCACACGGGAGGTCATAAACAACATGGAGGACTGTCAGTCACACGGGAGGGGCATAGGGAAAAATGGAGGGCTGTCAATCACACGGGAGGTCATAAACAACATGGAGGACTGTCAGTCACACGGGAGGTCATAGACAACATGGAGGGCTGTCAATCACACGGGAGGTCATAAACAACATGGAGGACTGTCAGTCACACGGGAGGTCATAAACAACATGGAGGACTGTCAGTCACACGGGAGGTCATAGACAACATGCAGAGCTGTCAATCACACGGGAGGTCATAAACAACATGGAGGACTGTCAGTCACACGGGAGGTCATAAACAACATGGAGGACTGTCAGTCACACGGGAGGTCATAGACAACATGGAGGGCTGTCAATCACATGGGAGGTAATAGACAACATGGAGGACTGTCAATCACACGGGAGGTCATAGACAACATGGAGGGCTGTCAATCACACGGGAGGTAATAGACAACATGGAGGACTGTCAATCACACGGGAGGTAATAGACAACATGGAGGACTGTCAATCACACGGGAGGTCATAGACAACATGGTGGACTGTCAATCACACTGGAGGCCATACACAACATGGAGGGCTGTCAGTCACACGGGACATGGAAGGTCACTCAGCAAGCAGTGTATTACCTTCTAAACACAGTTCCTCAGTTCTGACACACATCCTCTACCTTCTAAACTCAGTTCCTCAGTTCTGACACACATCCCTACCTTCTAAACTCAGTTCCTCAGTTTGACACACACCTCTACCTTCTAAACTCAGTTCCTCAGTTCTGACACACACCCTCTACCTTCTAAACTCAGTTCCTCAGTTCTGACACACATCCTCTACCTTCTAAACTCAGTTCCTCAGTTCTGACACACATCCTCTACCTTCTAAACTCAGTTCCTCAGTTCTGACACCATCTCTTACCTTCTAAACTCAGTTCCTCAGTTCTGACACACATCCTTACCTTCTAAACTCAGTTCCCATTCTGACACACATCCTCTACCTTCTAAACTCAGTTCCTCAGTTCTGACACACATCCTCTACCTTCCCAAACTCAGTTCCCCAGTTCTGCACACATCCTCTACCTTCTAAACTCAGTTCCTTAGTTCTGACACACATACTCTACCTTCTAAACTCAGTCCTTAGTTCTGACACACTCTCTACCTTTTAACTCAGTTCCTCGTTTTGACACACATCCTCTACCTTCTAAACTCGTTCCCAGTTTGACACACACCCTCTACCTTCTAAACTCAGTTCCTTATTTGACAAATCCTCTACCTTCTAAACTCAGTTCCTCAGTTCTCACAATCCCTACCTTTTAAACTCGTTTCCCTTTGTTCTGACACCATCCTCTAATTTTAAAATCAGTTCCTCATTTTTGACACACCCTTACTTCTAAACCGGTTTCCTTTTTTCTGACCCACATCTCTACCTTCTAAAATCGGTTCCTTTGTTCTGACACACATACTCTACCTTCTAAACTCAGTTCCTTAGTTCTGACACACATCCTCTACCTTCTAAACACAGTTCCTCAGTTCTGACACACATCCTCTACCTTCTAAACACAGTTCCTCAGTTCTGACACACATCCTCTACCTTCTAAACACAGTTCCTCAGTTCTGACACACATCCTCTACCTTCTAAACTCAGTTCCTCAGTTCTGACACACATCCTCTACCTTCTAAACACAGTTCCTCAGTTCTGACACACATCCTCTACCTTCTAAACACAGTTCCTCAGTTCTGACACATATCCTCTACCTTCTAAACTCAGTTCCTCAGTTCTGACACACATCCTCTACCTTCTAAACACAGTTCCTCAGTTCTGACACACATCCTTACCTTCTAAACTCAGTTCTCAGTTCTGACACACATCCTCTACCTTCTAAACACAGTTCCTCAGTTCTGACACACATCCTCTACCTTCTAAACACAGTTCCTCACTTCTGACACACATCCTCTACCTTCTAAACTCAGTTTCTAGTTCTGACACACATCTTACCTTCTAAACACAGTTCCTCAGTTCTGACACACATCCTCTACCTTCTAAACTCAGTTCCTCGTTCTGACACACATCCTCTACCTTCTAAACCAGTTCCTCAGTTCTGACACACATCCTCTACCTTCTAAACCAGTTCCTCATTCTGACACACATCCTCTACCTTCTAAACTCAGTTCCTCAGTTCTGACACACATCCTCTACCTTCTAAACACAGTTCCTCAGTTCTGACACACATCCTCTACCTTCTAAACACAGTTCCTCAGTTCTGCACACATCCTCTACCTTCTAAACACAGTTCCTCAGTTCTGACACACATCCTCTACCTTCTAACTCAGTTCCTCATTCTGACACACATCTCTACCTTCTAAACTCAGTTCCTCAGTTCTGACACACATCCTCTACCTTCTAAACACAGTTCCTCAGTTCTGACACACATCCTCTACCTTCTAAACTCAGTTCCTCAGTTCTGACACACATCCTCTACCTTCTAAACACAGTTCCTCAGTTCTGACACACATCCTCTACTTCTAAACACAGTTCCTCAGTTCTGACACACATCCTCTACCTTCTAAACTCAGTTCCTCAGTTCTGACACACATCCTCTACCTTCTAAACACAGTTTCCTCAGTTCTGACACACATCCTCTACCTTCTAAACACAGTTCCTCATTCTGACACACATACTCTCTTCTAAACTCAGTTCCTCAGTTCTGACACACATCCTCTACCTTCTAAACACAGTTCCTCAGTTCTGACACACATACTCTACCTTCTAAACTCAGTTCCTCAGTTCTGACACACATCCTCTACCTTCTAAACTCAGTTCCTCAGTTCTGACACACATCCTCTACCTTCTAAACTCAGTTCCTCAGTTCTGACACACATCCTCTACTTCTAAACTCAGTTCCTCAGTTCTGACACACATCTCTACCTTCTAAACTCAGTTCCTCAGTTCTGACACACATCCTCTACCTTCTAAACTCAGTTCCTCAGTTCTGACACACATCCTCTACCTTCTAAACTCAGTTCCTCAGTTCTGACACACATCCTCTACCTTCTAAACTCAGTTCCTCAGTTCTGACCACCTCCTCTACCTTCTAAACTCAGTTCCTCAGTTTGACACACATCCTCTACCTTCTAACACAGTTCCTCAGTTCTGACACACATCCTCTACCTTCTAAACACAGTTCTCAGTTCTGACACACATCTCTACCTTCTAAACTCAGTTCCTCAATTCTGACAACTATCCTCTACCTTCTAAACTCAGTTCCTCAGTTCTGACACACATCCTCTACTTCTAAACACAGTTCCTCAGTTCTGACACACATCCTCTACCTTCTAAACTACAGTTTCTCATTCTGACACACATCCTCTACCTTCTAAACACAGTTCCTCAGTTCTGACACACATACTCTACCTTCTAAACTCAGTTCCTCAGTTCTGACAACATCTCTCCTTCTAAACTCAGTTCCTCAGTTCTGACACACATACTTACCTTCTAAACTCAGTTCCTAGTTCTGACACACATCCTCTACCTTCTAAACTCAGTCCTACGTTCTGACACACATCCTTACTTCTAAACATCAGTTCCTCAGTTCTGACACACATACCCCTACTTCTAAACTCAGTTCCTCAGTTCTGACACACATTCTCTACCTTCTAAACTCAGTTCCCAGTTCTGACACACTACTCTACCTTCTAAACTCAGTTCTTACTTCTGACACAACTCCTCTACCTTCTAAACTCAGTTCCTCAGTTCTGTACAACATCTCTACCTTCTAAACTCAGTTCCTCAGTTTCTGACACAAAATCCTCTACTTCTAAACTCAGTCCTAGTTTTTGACACACATCCTCTACCTTCTAAACTCAGTTCCTCAGTTCTGACACACATCCTCTACCTTCTAAACCAGTTCCTCATTCTGACACACATCCTCTACCTTCTAAACCAGTTCCTCAGTTCTGACACACATCCCCTACCTTCTAAACTCAGTTTTCCCCAGTTCTGACACACATACTCTAACCTTCTAAACTCAGTTCCTTAGTC